TGAATGTTATTTTAAATTTTTTCTGATTTAATACTGTTTTAAGGGGGGGAGAGGGTTTGTTGTATTGTATGTATTTTATGGGTATTGTATATGTTTTTATTGCTGTAAGCCGCCCAGATTGGACTTCCAGAGGGCGGGCTATAAATAAATATTATTATTATTATTATTATTATTATTATGTAGAGTGCGTTACAGTAATCCAGCTGCGATGTCACCAAAGCATGTACCACAGCTTCCAGATCCCTCATGTCCAGATAAGGGCGCAGTTGGCGTATCAGCCAAAGCTGATACAGGCACTCCTGACCGCCGCACTCACCTGACTAGTCATGTGAAGCGACGAGTCAAGGAATACCCCCAAACTGCGAACACAGTCCTTAGAGGAGAGTGTGACTCCATCCAGGACTGGAGCTTGTATTCCCAAATCTGGTTTCGGGCCTGTAACTGTGAGTACCTCCGTTTTGTCTGAATTCAACTTCAATCTGTTTTTCCTCATCCAATCCATTACTGCTCTAAGACAGTCATTGAGAGGAGAGATGCCATCTGAAGTCTGAGACGATGATCTGGTCATGGAGAAGTATATCTGGGTGTTATCAGCATACTGAAGACACCGTGCTGCATGCCTCCGAATGATCTCACCCAGCGGCTTCATATAGATGTTGAATAACATTAGAGACAGGATGGCGCCCTGAGGGACGCCACAATTAAGCTCAATTTTAGATGAGCAACTGTCCCCGAGCCTCACCCTCTGGGATCTGCCCAAGAGGAAGGAGCGGAACCACTGCAAAGCAGTGCCTCCGATTCCCAACTCTCTCAGGCGATCCAAGAGGATGGCATGATCTATGGTATCAAAGGCCGCTGAGAGATCCAAGAGCACCAGCAGGGTCACGCTACCCCTGTTGATGCCCAGGCGGAGGTCATCGGTCAGAGCAACCATGGCAGTCTCCACTCCATATCCTGTCCTGAAGCCGGTTTGAAATGGATCAAGATACTATGAACATCTGTGACACTGTGATACTATGAATACAAACTATGAACATCTGTGACACTGGAATGGA